GAGTGGTATTTTGATTAATCACATGGCCAGAAGTGTATGTGTGGAGTTTTGTATTGCTGAGGCCATCAAGTAGAAAGGATAACCTAATTAGCATAGATGCTTTTGTTCACATGCACACAATTCAGTTAACGAAGAGCCAGGTAGTCCCAAAAGTTGACGGGCACGAGGCTGGGGATGTCTGTGTGGACATGTCGGGACTGCAGCTGTATGGCTGCGTTAGCTAGGTGACGTACCTGGGCGCGTAAGCCCCTTACAGAGGAAGGCTTCAGACCAGCACTAGCTCATGTCTGGCAAGCTCAGCACACGCGCAGGGTTTCGTGCTGTTAGCAAGGCAGGAAAGGCAGGAACCATCTTGGAAGCATCTGTGGCTTGTTTTGTTGTTGCAGATTCATTGCTGAGGCATTTTCAGTGTCCCGGTTAGCTGGCAGAAATCAAAGCAGACATTTAGGGCTGCGCGTTTTCCATCTTCCCGTGGACCCTCAAGGACAGTGACTGCGGGAGTGTGGGCAGTGTCTTGTTAATCACTGAAGAAAACGAAACATCTGTCACCAGACAGACTTGCTGTGCTTCCTTGGGTGAGAATGTCAGCCAGTTGCTTAAGCACGACCCAAAATAACTACAAATCGAGTCCCGCGTGATAACAGCACGCTAAAATCAGGGATTGGGAAGTATCTGACGAGCAATTCTTGTAGCAGGTATCTGACTTCTGCCTCGTCCTACTGCTGTATGGACAAACACTTCCGTTCTCTTCCTCGTTTTTCTCCCTTCAAGCTCCCAAGACAGAGCAGTTCTGCACTGCTGGCTTTGCTCCATCTCCTGGCCTTGCTTCTGTTGGTACACTAAGGATGTGGCAGGACGACGCAGGCACTCCCTTTTCCCTGCTAGGCTGAATCAAACTGTTGCAAACTTATTTTTTCTTGGGGAATTGACCACCAAGGTCAAGCAGAAACAATATAAACTCTGCGGTAAGAGCGCTGTATTTCTTACTAAAATTGTGTGTATCAGTTCCATGGAGACTTCTGTTTGTGTTTTTCGGAGTAATGGTTTGGCTCGGGTACTTGCAGCTCTGCTGTCCCATGGGTTTCCCTGCAGGGGAGGGTCAGGAATTCATATGGTTTATGAACTTTGCTCTTTGCTCATTCAGTGAGTGTGTAGGACGGAAAAGCCACTCTGTTTCTCGCGCCAAGGTACCAGGAGCATTGTCAAGGGCAGGAGTGGCAGTAATGGAGCCAGGTCTAAAGAGCAGCAGTGGGAGGTGGTTGCTAATCTCTTCTCCTCTCCATCCTCAAAGTCAGGCACGTGCTCTCCTTTGATTTATCAGCCATGTCCTTTCCCCTTAGTGTTACTGATTCCTCCTCTTAAGATTTCCTTCCTTCCATCCCCTCACCATATGAAATTTCAAAACGGATCTTTTCAGAGCTGGCAGGAAATTATTTTAATTCATGAGAATGAATTTCAGGTGCAGCCATCTTTACATAACCTTTTTATATTGCTCATTAAAGCATAACAAATTGCTGGTGATTGGAATTAATTTTTTTCCCTTTGCAGGCAGCAGTGACATGGCAAGGTCAATGAAACCTCAAAAGCATCTATCAAACACCTGGTCTGGTGGGATTGTGCTGCTGCTGACAGATGTACATTTTTAACCTGGCTGCTACATATTCACTTAAGCTGCTCTTGGAGAGCAGAGGGAAAGTGCGAACAGGGAAAGCATTTGCAAGATTGGATTTTTCTCGTGTGAAAATAGCTCTCTCTTCTTTTGTAAGGTTTTTTTAAGATAAAGAGAAGCAAGGTGCCGCTGGTAGCACTGGGAGTATTTTTCCTGACCTGATCCAGCTGTACAACCCGCGCTTGGATCCAGAGAATCAGGTAGGGGAGGAACTTAATGGGCAACTAAATATTTCAGATGCTCTGGATAGTTTTGTGAGTCTCAGGAGTGGTTTCCAAAGCTGAGGACTTGGCGGTGCTGTCTGCCCATCCCCGGTGGAGCAGGGACCGCCACCAGCAGTAGGCAGCATGCTGGCTCCGTACAGCCGGTGATGCAGAGTGCCGGGGCAGGAGCTGCTGCAACACTGCAGGCAGGGAGCCTCTCGGCCTGCACTGGGCATTGGAGGCGGTCATGGTGGTCATGGCTTGCTTCTCTGTATGGGTCATCCAGCTCTGGACCGACTTTCTTGGGCAGCCTGGGCTTGTGCTGCCCAGCACTGCAGGGTGATGCCCGGAACAGCCTGTGCATGACGGTTCAGTGTGGGTTTGGCATTTCTTCTTCCACATCCTTTCCATTTGCATTTCTCCCACCATTGGTAGCTCTGATAATCTTTAGAGCTGTTTTTTTGACTGGTTTTTAACAAATAATGTAATTGGGCTTTGTTGGTCATGTCCGGTTGCTCTTTGCAGGCTGCCCGTGCAGTGCGTCAGGCTGTATCTGGAGCAGGTTGGGTTTCACCTTGCAAAACCCAGTGTTTTAGATCCATATGCACTGGAACCTTTCAGCATAATTAACAAAAAATAAATTATTTTTTGAAAGCTTTGATCTCTCCAAAGAAGAAGTCTTTAGAAACTTCTGCCTCACTTGCTTTATTTAGCAATAATTTTGGTGCCTGTGCAAACACTACAGCTTATTCCCAAATATATATATCTTTTTTTTTTTTTTTTGGACAGAGGAGATTTC